TTTTATTTATGATAGAAATGGAAACAAAATATAATAATAATAATAATAATAATAATAATAATAATAATAATAATAATAATAATAATAATTGTTATTTGGTACAAGCATTCAAGTGTATTTTTAATCATATTGTTAATTTCTATCTTAACTATGATATATCTAAAATTCAAGTAATTAACATGAAGAAAAATTTTTCACGTGCAACACATGTACTTAATTACTAGTATATATATATATATATATATATATTTGGTGATGGAGACCAACATAATAATTGATGTCATATAAAGTCACGGGTTTTCTTCGTCCTTTTCGTTATTGTTATATGTTATATAATTTAGGAGGTAGGTTTGGTGTGGTCCAACATATGGCCTCAGGATTGGCTATGTGGTTATTGGAAATTTAGAATTGAATGAATGGATTCCATCAAAGAATTACCAATTTAGATTTGTTTTAAATTTCTTTCATTGCGTTGCATTTTTTAATAATTTATTACTATTTTTGCATTTACATTAGAGCCATTCAAGAATTAAATAAAGACTTAATCTCTCATGAGAGGATATATAGGCAGTCCCTTCAAGGGTCCGGCCACATCTTCTCTGTTCTCCCCTCTTCCTTTTCCTCTTCCAAGTTGAAACCTTATTCGTCAGATCCTCTGAGTGAAACTCTAGCCCATTGCCTTACACTTAGGCCCCACATTTACATTCAAAGACTCAACCTTTGAATGTTCAAACATATAGAAACTAAAGAATAAAACATTATTCATTTTGGGGGCATTTGGTAATCACAACTACAGTGATCATGGACCAGGTTGGGTTGGGCTTATAGCCCATAAAGTTGTATAATATAATATATCACCATGATCCATCATTAAATTAAATTATGAACCTTTAAATCATTTCTCATTCTTTCACAAATGTCCTTTTCCTTTTATCTCTACCTCTTCTCCCCTTCAACTTGTGATGACAGATCACATCTTTTAATTGGTGTCATGGATGGTATTCTCTACATGTAAGCAATTTATCTCAGTCCAACTTCCCTCATTTTATCAATTATTAAGTTACTTCTAGATTTTTTTGGACATGTTATTTCTTCACTACCCAATACTTTGTTCCATGCAATATTATTGGATTTACAACCATTTTTACTGCACTCATCCTCTGCACATCTTTCTCTAATTTTCTTTTAATCTGATGTATATACTCATTAGCTTCACAAGATGACAAGGTAGAGGTGCAACTTGGGTAGGCCCAACTTGAGCCCGGATTGATCCAGTTAATAATTTTATATGGGATGTGCTTCGCCCAAAAGATTGGTCTTTTTTATTTTTTGGGTTGGGCTTGGGCCTAGCCCTTAATTAGTTCAAACCCAGCCCAATCTCATCCTAATCCAAGTCCAACCCCACTATATACATGTATATATGCATATATAGACAAATATTTGCATACATACATGCATACTTGTTTTTGGTAAAGCATATTTGCATATATATATATATATATGCATGTATACATACATTGATATCAATTTTAGTGTGGGCTGATTAATCAACTTGAGTCTGGCCCAGGTCCAAGCCCAACTCGAGTGCACCAAATTTAAGTGCAGGCTTGGCTCAGGTTGGATAGTTTGGGCTTGACCTTGAGCTTAATCTGGACTCAAACCTTGGTTCAATTCTTAAAGTTAGGCCTGGGTTGAGCTAAATCCGGCCCACCCACCCGATTTGCACCCCTAGCCAAAGGTCACCATTAGCTGTTGCCAAACCACTTGACACCTCATTTATTTCACGCTACCCTTCTCAATAGAATGCAACAATAAATTCTACTCTGTAAATTGTTATAAAAGTAGTTACTTCAGTGTTTGTGAATCATGGTACATCACCGGCTGCGTTTGGTTGAAGTGCAATTTTATTTGCACTAGTACAAAATTACAAATGCATGGGAGTGCAAACAAAAAAAAGGCAAATTCTGGTTTAATTTTGTTTTAGGTCTTATTTTACTTCATTTGTATTACAATCAAACAAAATAAGGTAAAATTTGAAATAAAATTAAATCAAAATTTACATCCAAATCATTTGCATTACCATAATTTTGCATCAATGCAAACTTGTGCAACCAAACACAGTTATATAGAACAAATAAATTTTGTTGAATAGTTGATATGCACCTCTTTCCCTCTTTGGTTTGGAACATGAACTTTTGCCCTCACTCTTCAATTTGGAGAATAAAGAAAATGCATAACAAGTGTTTTTAAGGCATTTGTTTGACATCGATGTCGTTGCTTCAGAAAATGGTGACACATCAGCGTCACATCAGAAAAAATGGTGCTCTAGAAAACACCAATATGTTTGAAACCATTTTTCCATAAAAAAATGGTGCTCCAAGCCATGCCTTGAAATTAAGAAGGTGTAGTTTGGAGCAATGTCGAATTTGACGTTTTCTCAAATTGCAGCTCATTGTTACCAACAAGGACATGATGTGGCAGTGACATGGACTTCCTATAATGGGTACCGGTGCTGAAAATAGATATGAAAGATTGGTACCAAACACAAAGTATTGCTGTTGCTCCAAGAAACATCAGCAATAGATGGAAATTATACTTTTATCACATTACTTGTTTTACCATGTTACCTGAGTGGATGGATTGCATAGAAATATTAACTGCGCACAAGTGTCTTGTATATGTTTGGCATCGATGCTGTAGAAAACGGTGCTGCTGATGTGTGGGTTGGAAGCACCGTTTTTCGAGAAAATGGTGTCTTTTTTTTTCTGTTTGGAAACATTGCTGCCAGATAGGATGTTTCCTGGAGCAACAGAAACACTTTTTGTTTGGTTCCAGTGTTTCATATCTATTTTCAATACTTTCTGTTTGTTGTTGCTCCAGGAAATGTCCTACCTGGCAGCAATGTTTCCAAACAGAAAAAAAGACACCATTTTCTCAAAAAACGGTGCTTCTAATCCACACATCAGCAGCACCGTTTTCTACAGCATCGATGCCAAACATGTACAAGACATTTGTGCTCTATTAATATTTCTATGCAATCCATCCACTCAGGTAACATGGTAAAACAAGTGATGTGATAAAAGTATAATTTCCATCTATTGCTGATGCTTAGAATTTGTTGTTTACATTTCATATATGTCCTTTTGAAGTACCTATAATGCTCATGACCATATCAGTCCACAGGCCTAAATGAGAACAATCATTTCATCATTTTTTTTGGCCCTGTCTGTTTTTGGAGAAGTTACTTATCCTGATGAGTATTTACCAGGAAACACTTACTCATGTTCTTTTTATTTCTGAGGTAAATAATACAATGACCATTTTAGTCATAAATCTATTATTAAAAGGGGTAATTTTGTCCCATTCAAGTATTGGCAATTTTCCCCTTAGGTGGAAAAGTTACCCACCTAGGAGATGGGTACTTGGGTAAGTGATATTTAGGGAAAATAAATTTTCCATGGACCCACATAAATCTGAAAAAAGAGCATGAGTATCTTGATCAAGAGATCGGCTTCCATCAGGGCAAGCCCATGCTCATACCATCCCAACAGCCTCTTGCAACTTTGCATCGGGAATATCTCCCCATGAAATAAAGCACATAAGTACGGAAATATTCCCAATGTAAGGCTGTAAAGGCTCTTCAAATGGGCTGAAGCTGAATTCCTTGAAAAATCCTATTTACCGACTTACCTGTTATACCTTCTTTCTCTATTTATATACAATTCCTTTCAAATTACATAGTATTTTATCTTAAAATACAAACTTCTTGCATGTTCAGCTAAACAATTTTATCATCCTTTTTTTGCTATACAAAAACAAGACGTTCATCGAAAGGCTAAGACGACTATGCTTATTTATCAAGTATTTTACTTTCTTCCATTGTCGTTATTAGGATATTCAAGCTATTCCATCAGTATTTCTCAAATAGCTTATTTTTGACTCATCCTATTTGTATGGGTGTGGTTATTTGATTCATTTTGAAGTCACTGGATTAAAATTGTTATTTGGCCTGTTCTAGGCTTGTTAGTTAGGTTTTGGTAAATTGACGAAGAAGAAATAATTAAGCAATCAAATGTATATCTAATTTAAGGGCATGTTTGGTTCATAGAAATAGGACCTGGAATCAGAACTGGATGGGTCATTCCTATTCTAACTGTTTGGTTTGGTAGAATTGAAATTCCATTTTTATTCTTGCTAGTACCCCATTTAAGAGAATGACCATTCCCTCTTTCTCTCTTAAGAATGAAATCTCATTCCAATTTATTCCAATTTTTGTTTGAATCAAATAGAATGTGGGAATAGACCATTCTGATTCCAATTCCAAGGAATTTTGATACTGATACCAATTCAAATTCTGATAACAAACTAATCCGACCCTAAATGTTTCTTTACTAAAATATATTTAACAGTTTTTTATATTAAAAAATTTCATGATAAATAATTTATTTGTGTGAGGCTTCCTTTCAATATACTTTTTGTTTTTGAGCTTTGGGCCGATAGAACTATAGAAATAAAAATCAACCAAAAATTCCAAAAAGTGTTTCGAGTGTTTGGTAAGAATTGCTTTCAAAAACTTAGTAATCTAAAGCCACAACCTTAAACCACACAATGCCTAAAATTATTATTTGGCCTGTTCTAACTTGTTAGTTAAGTTTTGGTAAATTGGTGATGAAGAAAAAAATTAAACAATTAAATGCTTTTCCAATCTAAATGTTTCTTTACTAAAATATTTACCAATAGTTTTGAATGTTCAAAAAAATTGATAATAAATAATTTATTTGCATGAGCCTTCATTTGGATATAAACTTTTTCCTTTTGAGCTTTGGGCCAGGACAAATAAAAAAGAGACAAATTAAAAAGTGTTTTGAATGCTTGGAATGAATTGCTTTTTTAAAAATGGGGTTTTGTGCTTTTGGGATTACAAACTTAATTAATGACAAATGATACCAAATTATGTAGCCCCTAGGTGTTGATAGCCATGCATGGATTCGAGTAGAGTCTCATTCACAGCTGCTAACAGGGATTGAATTTCTGATAATAAAGATAGAATATCCACAGGACAAACAACCTCAGATAATCTTGTAAATACATGAATATGAACAGATCCTCGCGTAGGAATTTAGCACCTCAGCTTTCATATATCTTGATTTTTATAGTCTCTCTAATTCTTGCTTACAGAGAGGACAACAAGATATTATTCGGAGCCATTGATCTACACACTTTAGGTGAAACACATGGGAACATTGCAACTGCCTCACTTCTTCCCTGTCTTTGTATTTCGCTAGGCATATACAACATTCCTGTTATCCAACGCACAGCAGGAGAGACAAAAAAGACAACTCTGTTAGTTTATCATGGTTTTTTTTTTTTTTTTTTTTCATCTTAGGTCCATTTGGTTTGCAATGGAATTCAGAATCAAAATCAGAATTGTTTATTCCCGTCACGTTTGGTTCAGACAAGAATCAGAATCGAAATCCGCTGAAATGGAATTCTCATTCCCAAGAAAGGGGAGCGAATGACCATTCCCTGATCAAATGGAGAAATGACATTCCATCAAGAATGACAATCGGGTTCCAATTTCACCCAACCAAGCAGTTACAATCGATTCTGATCCAAGCAGTTACAACCAAATGGACCCTTACTACAATGATCTGCTGAAATATACATGCAATTAATTCCATAGTAGAGAAAAGTAAAACTTACCGAGTTCTCATTTGCAAGTTCTGAACTGCTTTGAGCATCATCACCAAGCTCTATGTTAGCTTCAACTTCTTTGTATCTCCAGCTGGGGAGCCTCGAGAGCTGATCATCAGAGGCTCCTCTTTCGACAGACCCCATGTTCATGTTGTACCCAAGGAGGTTGCTGATCAACGGAACGCAGCAACAGAGTAACACAAACAATAGGAAGGGAAAGGAGTAGGTGACAGCATTCCAAGCCAGCAGAGAGATGCAGAGGACATGAAGCTTTGGAGCTCGGTTGAAAGATCCAAAGCGAGAATCAAAGACCCAGACATTACCCATCACGAACCATATTGCGAAGAACAGCTCAAGCAAAGTCCGGGCTCTGTTCATCAGGTGTGACCTCCTGTTTGCATGGAATTAATACTGGTAATTAGGATGCAGGTGATGGGGAATAAAGCTATACAACAATAGTGAAGAAGATGGACAGAGATCAAGAAGTATTCAGTACCTTGGTTCATCACTGCTTCTCTGCTGCTCTACATCAGAAAGACCAGAATTGTTTCCTTGGGCGGCATGAGGATGCTGATAACGCCAGTATAGTAGAGGCAAACTGAGCAGGCAGCCGAGGTCGTAGCCAACAATCCACACCCTCAAAGGCCATACTGGCTTTTCCTCCGTGGAAATTGAGAGAGTAATTGTTATGAGTGTTAGTTGAACGATTAAAACTAGTAGCTCCAACGTGATCCAAGTGCCAGAATTGAAAGGATTTGATCCTAGGTCGGACCTTGATGCATTCTGGTAATGAAAGACTCTTCTGAGAAAATTGAACCACCTTGCTCTCGATATCCTCATCGCCGTCCTAACCAGGAATGACGAAGAGGGCGTGCGGGTTGACCCGCTTCGAACACCGCCGGCGGCCGCATGATGACCTTCTCCAGCCGGAGAAGGTGATGAAAATGTAACCTGAATACCAGAACCATACAATGAATCTGGCGTAAAGTAATACCGAGTATTCATGGGGAGGTAATGATGAAATTGAATTCGAAGAAGAGAATATGAATCTCAACAAGGACCAGGAGATTGACTGGAATAAGCAACAATTAATGCCAAGCAATGGTAATCCAATCAAAGCATTATCGATCTGAACTCCTACTTTAACATGGAGATTACTTGACATAAAAACTTGAAATAAAAAACCAGATGATCACCCAATTGAACCAGCGAACTTTCTTCAATTAGAAGTTCGTTGTAGTGGGTTGTCATGGATTGATGAATGCCATCAAGCTCAACTGTAAATATGGGATTGAGAAGCAGCAGTAGCAGCAGAAGAAGAAGAAGCAGAAAGCTTAGCTAGCAGGTGGATCGAGTTGGGTTCAGATGGTGACCAAAAATCTAACAGCTTTGCTTCCGTTCCAAGGGAATCGTGGAAACCAACTGTTGGCCTAACTTACTTCTCATCGTTAATTGGTTTATTTAAGAAGCAAAAATAAAAAAAATAAAAGGTCTGAAATGTAGAAAGCTGAGAGCAACGGTTCTTCAACCGCAAACCTCCCCAGGAGAATTAAGATATCATTAAAAGAAAGGAGATTGATTTTGGTGATAACGAAAAGGCTATTTCCTTTGTATTTTATATTAAACGAGAAAAATAGAACACGAACAAGATAAGAGTTCAGGAACGCTTTGATGTTTTTGTAAGCTTTCTTTTTCGAATCGTGACGATGGCGGACTGGCGGAGGTTGTGAGGTTTAACCTCCTTGTTAAGAGGTGGTGGGGTTGGTCGCTGGATCACCTAACCTAACCACAGCTTCTATCCTTAATAACCAAAATAGCCTTCAGAGGGTGTTCACAGCTCGGTTCGCTCGAGCTGTTTGACCAACCGAATCGAACGGGGAATGGGTTACCAGAAACTGATGGATCATTAATCAAAACTGGATCGGTTTATTGATTTGGTTGGTCGGTTAAAAAAAATAAAATTATAGTAATATTATTAAAAAAATTAAATTTATAATATTTAAATTAAAAATAATCGAAATATAAGAAATTTTCAGCTTTTTATATTAAAAAATTAAATTTAAAATATAAAATATTAATATATATTTATAATTGAATCAAGTTAGTTTTGATCGCCATACGAAAATCAACTAAAAATATTAAAAAACCGCCCAACTCTAATCAAATTGGATCAGGTTGATCGTTTCGATGAACAGATAGTGGCATATTGGTAATCTCCTTCTTCTGAGTGGACTTTTGCTTGAGCATTCAACTATCGAAACGCTGACGGAATTGAGTTGCCAACCAACCAGAGACATCGTTTTGGGTAGATTATAGGTTTGTAATAGTAGTGTTGTTCTTTAATAAATCTCCAAACAACAATTAATAATTTTTTGGAGGAACTCAACAATAATCAGGAAAGCAAATTAACCTACTTCCTACTGATGAACAAGAACACCAAACACTGGATTGACAGGAGAAGTGTCAGCCTACTACATGCATGATGCATGCATGTAATGAAATCTCCATGCATCTAAATCTAAGATGTGGGGCATACCAAATATCAGTAAGATCAAATGAACTTTGACCGTCTGATTTCCACCATTGCTGCCTGGCTTCAAACTTAAACCCCAAACTTCCGGATGGATTGGGCTGCCTTCCTACTACCACGGATTTGACATGTTTGGGCAAAAAAAACAAAAAAGAAGGAAAGTGTTTCCTTTTCTTCAAATTCATTGGGGCTATAGCCCTGGGGGGTTATAAATTTAAAGTGGGGTCTAGGGTAGAGGGCTGATGAGCGAGTGAACACTTCCATCTGTCTATCTCTCTAAAATATATTGACATTTTTTTGAAGAAATGTCCTCAATTACATATTTTGCAAAACTACAAAATAAATGAATAATTTAAAAAAATGTATAGTAAAGAATAACTTAGAATTTTCAAATCAATAGGACCAAAAGTTCAGGAACTTTTAATTTTATATATTCTTAAATTATAGAATAAATTTCTATTTTTTACATTTGTATATATTTAATATATTATACACATATTTAAGTAAAATAAACCAATTCTTTTAATGCAAATTTTCTAAAGGAAAACATTACAAAAATGAATATATATTCTGTTTCAGCCATCTAATTATGCTCATGAAAATAGCAGAAATGCTAGAAAACTACTCCAAAGTGCATCACCAGACTTTATAGGGCAGTTAGAGAGCACACCATAAGACAATATTGATATATATATATATATATATAGGTACCTTAAGGTCAAAACCCAAACCATAATCGGGTCTTATTAGGTCAGGACGGGTTGAATACCCTAAAATTCCTGCGAATATATATATTGAGATTATAGAGGCAAAAGCATTGAAAATTGGTTTGATTATGGGATTTATGTCTCGAGACTTAGGTATTTGGCTATTTGCAAATGAATATTTTATGTACTTTAATACGCACAGATATAATATGGTTGTTTATCAATGTTAATTTAACAGGATATCATGAAATGGCCTAGTGGTTAAAATACTAATATTTAAAGTAAGCAACCTATGTTCAAATATATTTAAATAAAATTAATTGAATTAATTATAAGATGAAGATAATTAATGTTATAAGTGGTGGGATATGCCAAAACAGGTAGGACGGGTTAGACGGGTTTGGGATGGGTTTAGGAAATTAGGAGGAAAAGGTACCCGTTTGAATTCCAAATGCCAATTTTCAAATTTTGTAAGGTGATCAGAGGCTGGGCTTCTACGCCTACAAACTTACATATAATGGGCTTAACATGGGCCAGGTTCTTGGGTTTATTTTCCACGCTGACGTTATTCGCTGGCATTGCTTGTAACATAAACCACAAGTTGAAGATTGAATTCACAGCTCCAGAGTGGGCCCAACACTAAGCAAGAAGCTTAACTTCAACTCTACAACTTGGGTCGAGTTCTGATTTCGGATTTGGCCGAACATTAGGCCGACCCGGGTGGGTTGTTTGAGCAATATGTTTCCACACTTTGATGCGATTTATGTTTGAAAAGGCTATTGATTCAGCAATAAGTGATTGTTCTACATTTTACATTAATACTTATGAATGGCAAGGCTATTATATTATTGGGGTTTTTATTGATTCCTCCAAATGAATTTGTACATGTATTGGTTGTTTGTGCCGTTGAAAACGTTCGAGCATGACACATTACCATGGGTGTAGGGTAAAAGAGTAATTGTCCTTAATATTCTTTTCATCAAAAAGACAATCATAGGATTGAATGGGTTTGGATTGGTGCTAAGAGAATAAGTCCTTACCTGATTTCTAGTGTTGGATATTGATGGCTGAGAAATCATGTTGCAAATTAAAGATGCAAATGGGTCGGATTTGAATTGGGGTATATTTGAATCTGATATGATAATATAAATCTTGTATTTGATCTGGTTTGATTATTTCATCAGATCTCACAAAGGTCAATCCAAATTTGAATCTACTAAGGATATCAAATATCCGAATCTGATCCAGTCCGATTTGATTTTTAAGAAATTATTAAAAGGAAAAACAAATATAATAGTCTATATAAAGAAAAACAAAAAAAATACAAGCATTTTTTCAATTATTTTTTATCATATATATATATATATATATATATATACATGTCTTTTTATAAAAAAGTTAAAAATACAATATAAACATATTTTAAATACAACATCAGCCTTTATTGCATTGACGCTAAAAGTCCTGTATAGAGGTAGTTACAAGTGCCTCTAAAAGTCTAATTTAGAGGCACATTTGAATGCCTTTAATTGCTTTTGAAGCAACTTTATGTGCTTCTAAAAACTGTTTAAGAAGAAGAAAAATCTTGATTAAAATGTTTTAACGACATTTTTTGTCGCCTTTAAAGATACATGCCTTAATATTTAAAGGCACTTTTGGCCACCTCTAAAGATGTTTCATTTTTTTTAAAGTGATTTTATCATATACAAAACCTGTAGTAACATGTATATAATATTAAGATAAAACTTGTATAAAATATATCTATACCACTTCATTCAAAAAGATACATCTATAAATATGATTCCATGATGATTCTATTAAACAATAAAAAATACACTAAATGCCTTTCATCTTCTTTCTAAGAACAAGAAAAAACATTACATTCAACTTTCATTATCTTCCTTCATCCAACTTAGTAGATGACTTCTTTACATAGAGTCCAAAAGGTATTGAGATAAAACCTGAGTGGTGATATTGCTTCTGGTAGTAGAAGTCTCACCAACCATGGCTGCTCTTCTCTCAATCTACACTTCAGCTCCTATTAACACCCAAAGCTCTCCTTTGCATAAAATCTATTAACACCCAAAGGGTCAGAAAGCCTGTCTTGGTCCTTGTGAGAGCTTCTACAATGGGAGTCCAATCCACACAAAATCCACCTTTGGTTTTTGTCCATGGAAGCTTTCATGCTGCTTGGTGTTGGGCCGAACACTGGTAGCCCTTCTTCTCCTAACATGGGTATGACTATTTTGTAGTCAGCTTGTTGGCTCAGGTATATTCAATCTCTTTTCCACGTATCTATGGCATTTTGACGCCCAATTAAAGGCAATGGGCTCTATTTTGATTTTCACACCATGGCCCTTGTAAACACCCTATTTTTGCATCTCTTAGTCTTTCTACAATACTTCGAGCTTCAAGTATGTTTTAGCTTACCTCACTGTTGACCTAGGGGTATTTTTGAAATTTTATAAAAGTCAGGGCCTCAAAGATCCAAGACCATAGGTATGTAGAGCCCATAAAACCAAATCCAACAACACCAAGATCACTTTAAATCAGACATCGTTTACCCCTTTATCTTAAGACCCGAACTCGAAATCTATTTCAATTGTCCGATCGGAGTCATTTTGATCTTAAACCTCATTTCACGTTAATTCAGAAATCCAAAACATAGGTACATAGATCCCAAAAATCTAAATCCAGTATATCAAAATCACCAAAACCAACACCGTTTACACCTTCATCTTAAGACCTAAAGCTAGAACTGATTCTAATTGTCCGATCGGGATCATTTTGATCCTGAATCTCATTTCACATTAAATTAGCTGAGACCACAAGTACGCAGAGCCCGACAATCCAAACCCGACAACACCAAGATCACCCAAATCTGACACCATTTACCCCTTTATTTTAACACCTAAAGTTGAAACTGATTTTGATCGTTCGATCAGGGTCACTTTGATCTTGAACCTCATTTCACATCAAATCAGAAATCTAAAATCATAAGTATGCACATCCCAAAAATCCAAATCCAAATCCAACAACAGCAAAATCACCCAAATCTGACATCGTTTACCCCTTCATCTCAAGATCCAAAACTGGAACCGATTCCAATCATCCGATCGGGATCATTTTTTATCCTGAACCCTGTGCCACATGAAATATGAAATCCAATCTT